GTGAGGGAGCCGGTAGCACCCGCTGGAAAGTACTGTATGTCGTCCACTTCCTGTGAAAACATTCCTGCTTGTATTGTTGTGGTTGTTTTATTAGCATGTCGTAACTCCTTTGAGGGCTTGATAACAAAGTGAAATGGTGCAAATACTCGAGAGAGGTTGTCCAACATGTCGGTTAAAGTTTTTACAAGGGGATAAAAGGGTGGGAGAATTAGACTGTTACATAAGTAGGAGGAAAATGTTAAAGTTTCAGTTTAGTGTTTGGGGATTTAGGCTGAAGAATAACATCACAAATCTTGTGTCTGCTACATCAGTGTACTTTATGTAAGTGGATGTTCACATGCATTAAGCAGTTGTCCAACTTCCCAGCAAGAAATTGCCTTTACCGCAAAAGAAAATTGAATGCTACAAAACCCCTCAAACTTAGTCCCAACTTCAGGATTTTCCAAGTGAAAGGAGAGATTTAGTGCTGTGTTTTGTACCCAAACAACACAAACAAGGACATCCAACAACAAAAAAAGTAATACAGGAGAAGGAGGTCTGGGTTGACGGGTGGGTCAAAAAACATCGGACTTTCATCCAGGAGACTGTTGTTCTAGTCCCATCTGACACCAGAAGTCAATGTTGACTTATTTGTCACATAGCTTTGGTACCTAAGTAACATCACTTCCATAGTTATTTTAACCCAAACCACAATCTATCTGAATTCTATCTATCAAGTAGGTTTGGCACTGATCCCTCTTCTTGCTGGACATTTGTAGGAACACATGACAAATAATAAAATAACTTTTCATAAGATATACAAACCGTTGAATGAGGATACGCTGGTTGAGTAGCTATTTACATGGCGAGGCGCCAATCAAAAGCTAACTCTTTATGGTGTACCCCGAAACAACTGTATTTATGGTCCTTCTTTCACTTGGAAAGGTTTCCCATGTCTCACAACAGAAAACAAAACCATTGACAGTTGCAGTCATTAACAGCTGAAGTTCTTGTTTTCTCATTTACTTTGTCACAGTGTGAGGTTTAGTGAGCAGGGCAGTAAAATGGCTTTACTAGATCTCAATCTTCTTTTCAACTTGCTCTATAATGTCTTCACTATCAACAGTTTCCATCATTGAAAAGTTGTAGAAGAAAACAACCATGTTGTATCTCTGTACACGTGCTAACGTAACCTATGGTAGATACAGCAGCTACTGTTTGTACATAGGTTCCATTGGTTGGTTTCAGTGGGCAGAAAGCTGGCCAGGGTTGTACTGCTGGTTGGAACATTTTGAGTTATCTTCCAGTATCATGGAAAGTTTACACTGAGACCTTGATGACCTCAACCTTCTCACATTCCTGCAAGGATAAATGTGTGTGTCTTGAAAATGTTATGTGTGTGTGATCTCACCCACCCGCGCGCAAGTTCACAGAGCTGTCATGGAGCACCAACTAATGCAAACATTTCTCATTTATCTTTGCTGTCATTCTTTCCAGAAAGAAAGAATGGAGGGAAAAGAAAGGTGTGGTGATGTTTTTGCTAAAGGAGTGAGAAAACAGAGTGAGATTTCCCCTGAGGGTGTGGCTGGTCTGTGATGTCATGTGGTTGCCATGGTCACTGTGTGTAATTATTGCATGTTCACGAAAGAGGACGATGAGTGGAGTTCCTGTCATGTATAGTTACGTGCCAGACAATATGCATGGTCCAGTCTTTACACACACACATGCATGCATAATAACACACCCATTCTGAAAGACTGATGTTATTGGTTAAAGCAGGGAAACAAACCTCAATCTGGTTCTTCTCACTGCAATGCCTCCTCTGCTTTTTACTGCCTTTGAAATTAATTTCTATGAATACGTGTTTGTGTGTGTATGTGACTTTTACAGTATACTATAGTGTTAGTTAAATATGGTATGGTATACTATATAGTAGTTTAATGTGGTATACTATTATAAACTACAATACAGTGCACTATAAGTATAATATAGTATAGGATACTGTAATACAATATACTATAAGTATCATATAGTATAGTGGCTCAGGAGCTAGAGCAGGTGGTCCACTAATCTGAAGATTGGAAGACTGGCGGTTCTACCCCGGGCTCCTCCAGTCCAGATGTTGAAGTGTTCTATGTCAGCCTCTGCCTTCAGTGTATGAGTCTGTCTGCAAATGTAAGGCAAGGCAAGTTTATTTGTATAGCACATTTCAACAACAAGAAAATTCAAAATGCTTCACATAAAACCATTAAAAGCATCAAAACATAAGGCAAAAGAAAAGGAGATTTAAAAACAATTAAGAACATTAATTGAATCATTAAAACATGAAAAAGCAGTGCAAGAAATAAAATACAGTAGTAAAATGCAGAAATGCTGGAAATTAACTAATATCCTTGAATGTGGATCAATTAAAGGCAGCAGCAAACAGAAAAGTCTTCAATCTTGATTTAAAGGAGCTGAGGGTCTCAGCAGACCTGCAGATTTCTAGGACTTTGTTCCAGATATGTGGAGCAGAACAACTGAACGCTGGTTCTCCATGTTTAGTTCTGACTCTGGGAACAGAAATTAGACCGGTCCCAGACGACCTAAGGGGTCGGGATGGTTCATAAGGTAGCAACAGATCAGAGATGTATGTTGGCCCTAAACCATTCAGTGCTTTATAAACCAACAGCAGGATTTTAAAGTCAATTCTTTGTTGGACAGGAAGCCAGTGCAAAGACCTCAGAACTGGAGGGATGTCATCCACCCTCCTAGTGTTAGTGAGGACTCGAGCTGCAGCTACAATGTAGTATAGTTTACTGTAGTATAGTATAGGAGTACAGCTTACTGTAGTATAGTTTAGTGTATAGTATAGCATAGCTTAGTATACTTTAGTACAGTAGTATAAGATAATGTTGTACAGTATACTTTACAGTATCGTATAGTTTACTGTCAACTATACTATACTGCACTCAGTAGCGGGCCGTGCATTTTATACCTGGGCCTTCTGTGCTGTCCTACTACAGTTGAATTACCTCCTAATAACCCATTATGACGCATCAATCCAGCAAACCTGCAGCGGATCCACACATTCCACCACACAAGAGCACGAGCCATTCAAATATTATTCATAAAAACAACATGATAGACGAATGAACAGTAGTAACGTTACTGCAGATGTAAAAAACAAACGCAGTTTGTCACTTACCGAAACTTAAAGAGTTTAATCCGATGGTACATCGTTTCAGTTCCAGTAAGAATTCCTTCTCGATTCATGGACGGCAGTGACAGTCGAGCCTCCCCAGTTGTATTTCGCCGGTCTGCTGCGGCAGGATCCACAGCGGGGCCGGGATCCCACCCCCGCCAGGCCGCCCGCCAGGCCGCACGCCCGGCCGCGGTTGTGGAGCTGTTTCCCTGCGAATGTGTTCGTTGAGTTGTAGATCAACTTGAGTCTCTCCAAAAGTTTTCAAATGCTATGGTGTCCTCAGGTTAGCGTAGCGTAACTCCAAACACCAAGAGCTCAGTTAAAGTGAAACACATTGCCAGCCATAAAATATGCAACGCTCCTCCGACGCTGTCAGCCAGAAATACCGTTCATACAAATCCTTTTCCTGGCTGAGTCAGGCTGCCAGCTGCGTGGTTGACTGACCATTTCTTACGATGTCCAGCTTTTCCTGAAATGTCCTTTCTTGAGAAAGGCGTTGTCAGTAACTCCGCCACTAAATCCGTTTCTCCTCCTTATTCAGCCATTGAGTGTTAAAAAATCAAAGCTAGGTAAAAAAAAATAAATAAACTACACCAAGCAAAACCCTAAGAATGTTATAATTTCTTCCATATCTTTCAATTTGAACTCTTACTCCTCCAACTAAGCTCTACTGGCAAGTTGAGTTTCGTTTCACAACAGTCACGTGCTCGCCCACTGACCAATCACAGCGCATGCTGCACCTCACTGCAGAGCTGCACGTTAAAACTGAGCTGCCCGTTAATGCTGACGTATTTGTAGGCCAGCTAACAGGCTTTGGCACGTCAAAGAATACGCCCAACATGTCAAACTAAAGATCTGATTGGTTGAACACTATGACAATCAACAATATCGTCCCCATTCACTTAAACTGCACATGGATGCACTTGTGAGTCTGCAGGCCTCTGGTCTCTCTTCTTACATAGAGACATAGAGGTGAAATCTGATTGGATAAAAGCTCTACTTAAAACAAGCTGCACTGGAAGCAGAGCAACTGAGGAAGACAGTAGCTGTGCAATGAGAAAATAAGATGATGGGAAAAATACGTTTACAAATTATAATACATGTATTGTATTTAAGAAAAATTATTAAATTATAAAATAGCTATAACTTGATTCTGTTTAGGCCAGCAGAGAAGGCCTTGCAGGCCCTGACGGCCCACCACTGACTGCACTACATTATAGTACAGTTTGATGTAGTACAGTAAACATACATACCATTATTTTTGAAGGAACCAAGGTTAAAGGTAACAACCAATATGACCACTAATCTAAAAGTGTGCAGCCATGCTAGCAGCTGTGGGAGCTGTTCTTAGGTACAGTGGTGCATTGAGCTAATAATGGACCAATAAGATACATTTTAAAACCACATAAATAGGAGATTTAGAAATAAATAGGAGATTTAGAAGTATTCTAACTCATAAAACACATTAATTAAATTGCACGGGCTGCAGCTTGGGTGCTGCTCGTGGGACAAAAAAAGCAAAACAAAAGAACTTCTATACCTTGTGGTCAGTCAGCTGCATCAAGAAAAGACGTATAAAAAGAAAAGGGCATATAACAGCCTGATGCCTGTCATGACTTTTGTCATATTTCTGGCTATGGATTATAAATTAGCTTGAAGACATCCATGTTGCAGGGGAAGCAAAGTATTTTCTTTTTATTGTTTAAGTCATCAATTTTGTCTACTATTTCTCACTCTTCCTCTTTCCCCTTCATTTGTCCATCCTTCTCTTTTCCCTCTCTTCTTCTATACGCCTTCACCCTCCCTCCCTCCCTCTCTTCGTCCTCTCTTATTGCAGTATGTGGTTGTGAACTGGCCCAGGGAGGATTCTTCGTGCGGCAGGGAGAATATATCTGCACTCTGGACTACCAGCGAATGTATGGGACTCGCTGCTTCAGCTGCCAGGACTTCATTGAAGGGGAGGTGGTGTCCGCCCTGGGAAAGACTTACCACCCCCGCTGCTTCGTCTGCGCCTCCTGCAAGTAAGAAACTGGGAAGTCGAGTGATATTGGCGTCCCGACCAACAGCTGGCCTGTTATTGTGAACAGTGACACAGTGACGTGTGTCAATGAGCTTTGAAAATGTGAACATGTGAACATCTAAAATTCCAAGATAACTGAGCAAAGTCCATCACCTGAATGTGATGATTGAAAACTGCAGAACACCTATCAAATTGACCATGATGTGACGTTCTTTTGTGAACTGATAGTTCAGGTGTTTGAAAGTGTGGTTGTATGAGGTACTTATCCATAGACAGTGTATTACCTACAGTAGACGGTGGTCGGTACGCCTCCAGTTAGGAGAAGCAGACACGAGTACCGGCAAAGCAATGTCCTGCTGTGGACGGGGAAATCGGCTAAATGTATTGAAGCCACTGAATGCAAAGGCCAACCTAAAACATTCAACACAGTTTAAGTGTACGCTATATTGAGAATATTTTCACCGGTTTACCTTGCCGTGAGACAGATATACAGTCTATGTGTCCGGCAGGGAACTGACGCTGTTATCTATGCTCTTGCCAAAGCTACCAGACTCCATTCAATTTTACCTTGCAGAACAATGGGGGTGCTGGTCTACTTCAAAGGACCCAAACTATCCCTTTAGCACTTGACTTAGGACTTAAACATCCCCACTTCATCCTGTTTAGCTTTCATACAAGTGAACATGTAATAACTCTTGAAATTAGGTTTATATATAACTATTTTTTTTCATATATCATTAATGGAAATTCTAACACTAAACCGTTATAACATTTATCAGCCTATTAATCCTAACATTCATTTGTTAAGAGCACTTTTTTCCCACTGTGTCCAGGGTGTCTTTATGTCCTTACAGGTCTCCAACTATTAATATACGATTAAATATATGATAATATTATATATATGTGACAGAATTGAAGTCTTACTTTAATGCAAAATGTGTATCATCATCAGCTTGTTGTCTGACCCCTCCTTGTAATTCCCAATAACTACAAATTTGAAATACAAAAACATTTTTTCATTGGAAAATATTGCACTACAATCATCATTTACAAGTACATGATGATACACATACATGTCAAGATATAGAAAAGCACATGAAGACACGTGTCACTGCAAGTCAGAGGCATCTTCACCTGTTTCCAGCCATGTGCATGCTTCTATTGACCATGTTGTGTGTGCGCGTGTGTGTTAGTCATCCATAGATTTATTTTTTTTGCTACAGCAGCATTTATGGTACAGGGACATTTTAAAGCAAAGCAATAAAAATAACAGAGTAAAAATATTAAATATAAATGCACAATATATACAATAAAATCGAATAATATTAAATGAACTAACTAAACAATAGTGCAAGATGAAACCAAACAAACAACAACAAGCTTGTCTCTCAGGCCTAGAAAGGTAATAGGAGCTTCTCTCAGGCAGGAATTCTGACCTCGTGGTTAGTCAGTGTGGCCTCTTCCCTTTCCCATAGTGTTAAGAGTTTTCTCTGTATGCGTGTATGTGTGTGTGTGTGTGCATGTGCTATCATATCTCGGTGATCCCCATACTGAACTGAGATCAGCATGTTCCAGTGTGGTGTTTGAGGTTTGTAATGTGATCATTAAACTTCTGTGCTCCTCTTATAACAAACATCGCTTTTGTGGCGGCACACTGGCTTATTGTGTGTAATATAAAAATAGGTCTGAGAGAAAAAGAGCAAATGCTACCCTCAGCTGTGTGAGTGTCTCGTGGTCCCATTGTTGATCATAGATAATTCATCAAGAGCAATCCAGCTCTGTTTGAAACTGTCTGTTTCTGCCTGTCTGCATGCAAAGTGCTGCTTCACAATTCACCTGCCTCTGTCTCACTACATACACTCTGCCTGTATTTCACCGTACATTCATCAACTCTGATACACTGAGGTTTTCCGTAAAGATTCAATCTGCACTTGCTCAGTTTCAAGTAAATAATTATGCAAACAAATACAATAGTTAATGGAACCAACACATATTTGTGTGCTGCCCCGTAGATGTTCTTATTTTATCTGAGGACCAAATACTCTATGGTGTCACCCACGTCATCTATTGCAGATTTACTGCTAACATGCCTTAGTTTAGCGTGTTAGAATGCAACAATTTCATAGTTAGCAGTAAACACAAGATACAGCTGAGGTTGATGGGATTGTCATTAGTTTTGCAGGTAGTTTGACTTGACAATAGCACTAGCACTAGATTAAAATTTTAAGGTTCACCAAAGTTATGAACAAATCATCCTAACAGGAAGTCATACCTGAACCACATTTCATGACAATCCATCCGGTAGTTGTTGAAACATTTCTCTCTGAACATCATGTCAAACATGTCAAACTCATGGTGGCCAATATATACTGTAAGTGAGACTTTAAAATAGATTGAAAGACTAAATATATCAACCTTAAAAAAAGGACTCTTTTACTGTTTATACATGAATAAGCTAAAATCTCAGCCCAGTCTGCCTGGATGTATTCCCCTCTCAGAAGCTGGCTGTGACAGTGTGACAGCAGCTCTCATATCACATTTACAAGCTGAAGGAAGCAGCATGTGGCAGCCAGTCAGAGCCCTGCTCTGCCAAGGCATCATCACTCCTTCTGTACTTGTGAAAAGCAGCTGTGCTGTTATTTCATTGTGTTGGTAATGTCCCTCTTTACAGTATAATGGTATTTGTCTCTAAAGGTATTTGGCTGGTGAATACGATGAATCAATTCATTAATTTGACAATTTTCTAGCAGCAACTTCCATGTCTCAGTGTTCCAGCCAGTGTCAATGTGCACTTCTTGTGCAATTGCCTACTAGATGCGGCCTTCAAGAAAACCCTGTAAAAGAAATAGATACCTTTGTCTCATAAAAAAGATAAGCTCTCAACACTGGCAACTTGGTCACACCTAAACATCACAGCCATATGTGATAGTTGAACACCTCATTCCAGAACCATGGGCATTAATCTGCTTCTATGACACTCTTTTGGAAAGCCTTTCTACCAGATGTTGAACCTGGCTGCAGGGATATGCTCCCATCCAGCCAAAAGAGCATTAATGAGGTCCAACACTTATGATAAGAACTGGCTCGCAGCTCATCTCAAAGGTGTTTGGTGGATTGAGGTCAGGGTTCTGTACAAGGCAGTTCAATTCTTCCACACCAAACCTGGAAAACCATTTCTTTATGGAGCGGGCTTTGTGGTTTTTGGCATGTTGAAACAGGAAAGAGACAAACACAAGACACAAAGTTGGAAGCACACTATTTATTGGGAAGAACAAAATATGTGCAGGCTGAATCACTTAAATCTTGGTCTCAAAATGTGACAAATGTGTTTACATTCTGCAGATAACACTCTTATTTACCTCTCTGCACTTTCTAATAAAGAGGTTGTGTTTTTTGTAATCTGCTTTAAACATTGTACAACACTAATGAATTGGAAGTAGCTCAAGATACCAGAAACAAAAACAGAAAGAACAATGGTGAACACATTCTAAGAAATCAGATATTGCCCTACTTATCCCTGTGCTGACATTGATTTGCTAATATCTTGAGTGCTGCTTTTCTTTTGAGTGAAGAAGAATCTTCTCTGTTCCTTTGTTGCTGTTCAGGAGTACCCAGACATCACATACAGACATGCACACCGTTAACCACGGTGCTCTGATGTTTATTACAAGTAGCGCTAGACCAAAGGTGCACAAACCTTTGCAAACAGGGATTTCCACACTTAATGCAAATTCAATTCACTAAAACTCTGATGAAGAGGCCTATGAGAATGCGTTGTTACAAGCAAAAATATTTTAGGGTTTTAACAACTTATACACATGAGAGGTAATTATTCTCATAAACCTTTTCTGATTGAAAAAGTAAATTAAATTAATATAAAAAAGACTAATAAATGCAGAAATAATCAAATGAAAATGAAATAAAATTCAAGTCAAACAAATATGACATACTAAAATACATGTAAGAAAAAAAAGGTAGAAATCTATTTGGTAGCTAAAAAACATTCTCTGGTATTTAGACAGTTGAACTCTAAATTTCTAAAATACTGGCGATGGTCCTGTTCAGCTTGTTGAAACATTCTGATCCTATTACTAAAAATGTCCGTTATATGTCCATGCCTTATGATAAAAAAAAAACATCTAGTCTTCAGTATATTATTTGTGTTTTTACTTCTGTTTTCTGTTTGCAGACAGCCGTTCCCGGCCGGTGACCGAGTGACATTTAATGGGAAGGAGTGCATCTGCCAAAAGTGTACACAGCCTCTCGCTGCCAACAGCCCTGCACCGATACAGGCTGTCCACAGTCAGTACACACAGTTTATGTCTCTATCTCTCTGATTGTCTCCTTTGCACCCTTTAAACTATGATTTTTTTCAAACTGCTCATTATCATAATTTTCTGTTCCATCCCTTAAAATGATGTTAAGTCTTTCCACTCTCAGGACATCAAAATGTCCAATGTTCATTTTGTCCAAAGTACTGTAGAAGGAATTCTACCATGCAGAATAATTCAACTTTATTGTCATTCCTCATCAATTCTCAACTAAACTAATGTCATCTCCCTGCAGACTGCTGTGGCTGTGGCAAGGAGTTTAAGAATGAACAGTCTCTTGTAGCACTGGAAAAGCACTGGCACCTGGGCTGCTTCAAATGTAAAGTCTGCAACAAGGTGCTCAATGCCGAGTACATCAGCAAGTAAGTCAGTCTGGCTGCTGTAAACAGTGCTATAACTACTTCATTAACAATATTACCTCTATGCAAAGGGATCCTGTATGTTAAGCCGATATCAGATGGTTAGTATTGGATGTCACAATACTTACTATCACCCAACGATATTTTTATTTGGTCACAAAAATGTCATCTTTGCTCAAGACTGATAGGAGGCGCCAGAGCTGAGATTCAATGTAAAAACACAATATAGATATATATGGATTACAGATACTAGAACCCAAAAGCACAACTCGGAGACAAGATTCAGGTATAGATTTCTTTACTTGGTAAAGGCAGGGTCAACACCGGGAGGTCAGTCCAAAAGGCAAACAAATCCAACAAGGGACAGGCAAAAAGCCAAGGTCGAGAAAACAGGCAGACCAGAATAGATATCTATCTATATATATATATATACACACAGTTGTGTGAAAAAGTGTTTGCCCCCTTCCTGATTTCTTATTTTTTTGCATGTTTGTCACACTTAAATGTTTCAGATCATCAAACAAATTTAAATATTAGACAAAGATAACACAAAATGCAGTTTTTAAATGAAGGTTTTTATTATTAAGCTGGAAAAAAAATCCAAACCTACATGGCCCTGTGTGAAAAAGTGATTGC